TCAATATCCACAAAGTTCGTTACCGTTGACTGGAGCAGTCTCGTGAAAGCGCATTCCTTTTCTTTAATTCGCTGGACAATCAGGTGCCACGGTGACAGCAGCGCTGCCCATTGGACCGCTCTCCCGAAGCGTGACTTGGATTTGGTTATCCAGTCCAACGTCGAGAACCTAGTGGACACATGTAAGGTGCGTCCAGCTAGTTGTGTATAACACGTCTTCAGTAGTAGTAGCAGTGCTAACACTTCCTTTTCTGCAGGGTGGTAATTCATCTCCGCGCCCTTCAAGACCCGGCCACAGAATCGCACTGGATGAAGCTTGTCTTCATGCAACTGAAGAAGAGCCGTGCTCAATACCCATTCATTGGCGAAGAGCATGATGTGAACTTCTTTCGTTTTGTCGAAGTGCCGAAGGATCGGTGCTTCGGCTACTTACTGTTTGAGCATGTCGAAACGTCGGCGAGCCGTTGTTAGGGCGCCATCTTCTTCGAAGTCACCGTTCTTTAGTTGGTATAGAGCCGCCCCGAAGACTGCCAAGTCTTGTATAAATCTACTATAGTAGTTCAACGCCCCTAAGAAGGATTGCATCCTTTTTTTCGTGCGTGGGAACGATAGTTTCGTGATCGTGGCTAACGTTTTAGTATTAGCTCGAATCCCTTCGTGCGAAATTTCGTGAGAGAGGAATTCAACTCGCGGTTGGACGAATATACTTTTGGTGAAGCTGATACGGCATTCCGTGAATGGAGCCAGGAGTCGATCTAAAGTTGTGAGGCAGTCGTCGAATGTCTTTCCCCCGAAAAAATATCGTCAACGAACGATCTTCTGTCGAAGACCGGCACGAGTGCCGATTCATCAACTTGGTTACAAACATGTCAGATGTCGGCTCGTTCACTAACTTCAACACGGGATCTGGATGCTCTACATCATTTTGAGCTGCCGCGAACTTGGTATTGACTATCGGTGATGCACCCCATGACTGGTGGAGTGTTCGGCACTATGCACTTGTTTACCTTTCACAAGATCTTCTGCAGCTTTTATCTTTTCTGCGAAACATCGCCATCCACCCTTCGGCTGCACAAATCCCCACAGCGCGTTATCTATCATGCGCTGGTAGATCATCGGTGCATTTTTTAACCCGAATGACATTCTAAGAAAATCAAAGTGCCCCAGTGGGCAAACAAATGCTGATATCTTGCGAGCTCTACGAGTCATCATTATGGCCCAGAATCCGCTGGCTGCGTCAAGTGAGCAGAACCACACATAAAAATCCAGGTCTGTAAGTAAATCATCACCTAATGGCATAGCATACTTCATTATGGCTGTGACTGCGTTGACCATTTTATAGTCAATGCATAATCGGATGTCTTCCCCATTCTTCTTCAGGACTATAACAATTGGTGAGTCCCACTGGCCGTCGGAAAATGACACAAGGATTGCTTTCAGCAACCCTTTTAGCAGCTCGTAGAGCTTCTGGAGATATCGGATTGGAATCCGACGAGCTCGCTGCTTAATGGGTGCGTGATCTTCCACATTTATGTCACACACTACTCCGTATGCTGGCGGTGGTAAGGCATTACCCCTGGCGATCATTATGTTTCTGTGAGTTTTCAAGACATTCACTAACTTGGCTTGGTCGTCAACTAATAGGGCAGAATTCAACACATTCGCAGCCGAAAAGGCGAGCTCCGTTGATGAATGATCTGAGAAATCTGGCAGGAACGCTAATTCTTGAGCATAGTTAGTCAATTCGGCGTCAGCTGGTTCATGCACATAGATTACATCATCTTCCGCGGACTCATATCCCTAGGTAGTTATGGCTTTCACAACTGAAATGAACGACATTTCCAAGATCATGAAATCGCCTTCAGAGTTCGGGTCTGGTGTAGCTTCGGGAGAATTTAGTTCTAGTAGGTCGTCGCTGCTTCCTTAACGGCAAGACGAGTCGTCGTCAGATACTTCTGTCGTCACCCCTGTGTTCGCAACCCAGATGCCCGCACTCTCCTCCATCGTACTCCTTTGCACATCACCCCTGTTCTCATCGTCACCCCTGTATTTGCAACCCAGATGTATGCATTCTCCTCCATCGAGCTCCTTTCCGCATCACCCCTGTCCTCATGCTGATTGTTGTCACTAGTTGTTTCATTCTCTTCATGTTGGAGTATTGAGGTTGGGTATGTGTACTCTGGTCGTGCGACGGCTGATGGTCAGGTAGTTAACCATTGTTCGTAAAGTTTCTCTTCTTTCTTGTAAAGATCCTTGTCGCATGCTTCTGCGTACGCCAGCACTTGCCATTCCGTGTACTTTACCGAATCTAGTCGCACGTATCCGACATCTCGCGGAAGATGTCCTAGCGAAACACATGGCAATATCGGAAAGTGGGCTGGACAGTACACCATATGGTCTGTAATATTCGTCAATCTAACGCGATATGGCGATTTTTCCGATAACTCGTGACAGTCGGCACTATCGACTCTGTCCTTCTAATCCAGACATCGTGAGTCTCCGGTGATGGACGTTTCTTCGAGACCTTAAAAGTCATCCATTCTCGTCGTGGGATGTTCATTGTGGCGCTGGGGCCGCTGACGTCATAGTGTATTTCCGGTTCATCTTTCATTGCTTGAGTTTTAATCAGCGGAATTGACACTTCGTCAGCGAGTTTAGCGTTCGAATGGAACATATCCAGTCGA